TGGACTACACAAATTTATCAGACTCGATATGTGATCAAAAAGACTTGAAGGGGGACATATATCCTTCTGATTCAATATCAACTTTCTCCGAATGAGAAATTGATAGATGATGAGCTGCGTGCCCCAAATGTTATTGAAACATTTATCCGTTGAGAGATAAATGAGTAGTTGGTTGGGTTGTGACAATAATTGGCCTGGGCTTTGCCTTTTTCAATATTAGTCTCGTCAATTCTTTTGGCTCACAACAACTACCCCTCTCTTTTTCATTTTAATCTCAACACACATACCCTTTTTGATTTAAGTTCACTCAGATATGGTTGTCCTCTTAGGTAGGTCTGTCGGTTTTGACATTCCATAGAGGTATTTCTGATAAGCACTCAGTCCCTCCTAAAATTTTGCGTTATGCACATTTGATCACAAAGATTGATCAAAAATATTATTTCTTTAAAGCACAATGATCAGATAAAAAATTGATCAAGTAATTTGGCTTTAAGCACGATCAATAAAGAATGATGCGACAACAATGAATATCTGTAAGAACATGTTTACAGATTCTGATATTTAAAAAAAATGAATGAATGTGTATCAGTCAAAGAAAAACAATATCAGAAAAACAATCTTGAATACAAACGAGTGTATTATCACCAAAAAAGATTTTCGTATAAGAGACGTGATAATAACAGTTTGAAGAATAGCTGAAACAGGTATTGGAGTTATGTACGACGAGAAATTACGCTAGTAAAATCTCAAGAAATACCTGTTCAGAAAATATACTCATTTTCCAAAAAAGAATTTCCAAAAACATTTATTCAGAATTCTAGAGACTCCCCCTAGAAAACAGATTTAAGTAATGAAACTTTTAAGCTCAAAAATTAAAAGGAAACATTTTAAGCACGGGTTCTAAATTGAGTGTTTAGAAACTACACTCGGTAAAGCTCGTGTTCTAAACTGGGTGTTTAGAAACCTCGTTTGGAATAAATCACAACTCCCCATGCATCGGTGTATCACAAAAATGATATTCTGATCAGCACAAGATGGACACACCAGCAAAATCAGATCAAGTAGATTTTGGTACCCAAACGAACTTGGGTCCTAAATTGTTAGTATTTGGTTGGGGTATGTTGTAGTTTCCAAACCATTTATTTTTATAAGATATTTTCTTTTCAGCACTATGAACAGGATGATCAGGAATAAAAATTGAATCATACCAGTAATTGTGATCATACATGTTCTTTCCTTTCTAGTTGTTGTTCTGATTACTGTTATCTCCATGCCACCTGTTGAACCTTTTGTTATTGACAAAATTATTGGTTC